GCCCACACCAGTGATAGCAGGGAGATGCGCGGCAGCTCCTGCTAGAGATGAGTCAGGCCTGCCCTTCTCCCTGGCTTCCTAGGGCCGTGATGGCACTCCCACCAGCCGCTGTCAGCATCAGAGATGATGGGGAACGGGATGGGGTCTCTCTTGTCCCCGTCCTTCATGGGGTGGAGCAGGGCAGCAGGCGCCTCTGCCTGTGCTGGGAGCCAGCACTCACGGCGCGAGGGCACGGAGGTCACGGTGGTCCGCAGCGTGAAGCATGCACACAGGGACGGCAGGAGTGAAGGGTACCCAGTAAAACTGCACAGGGGAAGAAGAGGAGTACCACCGTAGGAGGGGGCTGAGGGGACCTGACTTTCTTCTCATGAATAATCTGAAATTAAAGCGTGCTGCGGTACAGGGAGGGCATGATGGAGAACCGGAAGGGAAATACGAAGGAGAAGCAGCATGGTCTGCCCTTCCCTCCGTTGTCTCTGCAGAGACCACAGCATTCTGAGGGGACTGCGCTGCTCCTGGTAACGCAGCCCAGGCAGCTCCAAGAGAGATCACAGCCCCTTAAAATTGGCCGCTGATACAAGATGACTCCTGCAGAGCAGGCACTTGGTGGGAACTGGAGGAGCCAAAGGCTGGGAAGGATTTACCAGAGTCTCCCACATGGTCACGACTGCCCCAGGGTATCAGTGCTCAGCTGCCTGCTTCCAGCAGCATGGAAATGAAACAAAAAGGGAGCAATAAACCACACAGCAGGTGGAAAAGCCTCATAAAGTTGAGTCTGGACCTGAAACACATCCCCCCTTTCCAATTTTGGTCATGTCTGCAGGCCTATGCAGCTGAGTGAGACCACCCGTTCAACCACTGAACCATCCTGTCTCACTGGACTGCCTCCAGTATGAAGAGCAGAGTCACACAGAAGAGATCCTCCCCATCAAGGCTCTTGTAGACATCAGCTGAACTGAGCTTCTGGCCCATAAAGGAAGCTGATGGACCCAACAGATCCACTTGGACTACGTCTCAGAGATGTTACCAGGAAACCATTTCTGACTATCCCTGGCCAAAAACCTGTGGGGCAAAGTCAAGGCGGGATCAGGACACCAGCTGCAGAACTGCCACTCAGCCCTCTCCTGCATGAGTAGAGACAACGCTGAGAAGGCCCCAGGAAAGACTCATTCTTTCCTCAGGGGTAGTTTGATCCTCCTGGAGACTCGGCCTGAATGCTAGCCTGAGGAGGGATTCCTGGAGCGAGCGAGCAAGTTGGGGAGTTGCTGTCTCTGGAAGAGATTGCTGAGCAAACTGGCTGCCACATTCACGTTTAAAATGTCCTCAGGAGAGCACCTGACCCACTCTTCACATCAGAAAAGACAAGGTAAAGGGGCCAGGAGGGAAGACACGAGACATAGGCAAGAGGGCTCTCTAGTGGAGCACCAAGACTGTATAGGAAGAGTTCCCTATTTTAAGGGGATAAGTATTTGCCTCAGCCTTTTATGTCCCTTAAAATACATCAGGGGAAAAAAAGCAGCAATATTCAAATGCTAGGCTGTGTCTTCAGTTCATTCTGTTACCAACTTAGCTAATTAGGTGCTCCTTCAAGGGCGTTACCCGAGCAGCTTTCGTAGCTCTTAGCCCTGCTCACGCAACCAATCTGCCCGCGAGTGTCTGCTTCCCACATCAGGCAGAGACCTATGCCAGCCACCAGGCAGGACAGCACCACCCTGCTCAGTCTGGTTTTCTGCTCATCCACTTTATACCACCACCAAGAGATGGGAGGAACGTGCTTTTAACAAAGACGACATTTTCCGGGAGTTCCCGGAGGCTTTTATTTACAGAAGCTGTTTGTCAGAGACTAGAGCGTCCTGGTTTCTATCTGATGCTGTCTTGACTTCTCTAGTCTGTGAAATAAGATGCCGGTGTCAGGTCCAAGCTGTCTCCCTTCAAAGGGACACGGCTTCCCATCGTAGCGTGGCAGAAATGTCAAACCCGAGAGACCTCTCTCTTCTGGCTCAACAGCCAGCCTGGAAAGCAACTTGTCTGCAGTGTGTGGGATCACAGGCTGCAGGAGGGTCCCATAGACACGCAGGCATTCCAGCGTAACGTGGATGATGGTGTCAAGCCAGAGCTCCTCTGCGAGGTCTTTTCGGTTGAGTTTCCAAGGACTGTGTCTCTGGAAGAAACTGTTGGTCTGCCTTACGCACAGGGCAACACATTCTAAAGCCTTGTAGATCTGGAAACCTTCAAAATAACTAGCCACCTGCAGAGGCAGAGAAGCCACAGATGCCACGAACTCATAGTCTTCAGCAGAAGCCCTACCCATGGCTTTTGTCCCCCTGTAATCCAAGATCTTTGGAAAACAAGACTCTGAGAAACAAGGGTAAGTGTTGCTGGGGTTAATGCTGAGGGCTGTTGACCGATTCAGAAGGCCCCCAAGAGCATCTGCCAGTTCTGAATTCACTAGCTTAACAACCTTCTCATCGTAATAGTCACAATCGCGCTCAGGTACACCCTGCCTTAGCAGGAAGTACCGAAATCCATCTACTGTGTACTGCCCAATACAAGCTAAGGGGTCAATCACGTTGCCCAGGCTTTTGGACATCTTCTGCCCATGGACAGTCCAGTGGGAGTGCACAAAGATTCGCGCAGGGGGAGCCAGCCCTGCTGCCATCAGCAGTGCTGGCCAGTAGACAGCATGAAACTTGAGGATGTCCTTGCCCACAACATGGTGCGCAGCAGGCCACCACTCACCATGTGTCTCAGGGTAGCCCACCACGCTCAGATAGTTCACCAAGGCATCTACCCATACATAAATAGTTTGTGTTGAGTCACTGGGAACAGGGATACCCCACTGCAGCCGGCTGCTCTCACGAGAGACAGACAAATCTGGCAAGTCCTCTTCCAGCCAGCGGAGCACGCGCTGGTAGAAAGGGTCAGGGGAAATGGCGTGTGGGTTGTCCCGGAGCCACTTCCGCAACGGATCCCGGAAGGCTGAGAGCCTGAACATGTAATTCTCCTCTTTGGTCCAGTGCACCTGAGAAGGCAGGAGAAAAGAATTATGGCCCAAACGCTCTGCAAACAGTTTTACAATTTGCACACAGCATTCTCAGCATGGAGTTTGTCGGATGCTCCCTCTGTGTTTGGGTGTGCTCCCCATGACGTGTGAAGCCCCGGTATCTTTCTATGAGGAATAGGAACCTCCTCTCCTAAGACGCCGCCTCCCTGGGTTCCCCAGGGCAACACATGAGGACTTGGGCACCTGGGATGCTCAGCACTCTGCTTTTAAAGATGCTCGTGCCCCCAGGGAAGGAATACCTTTCTACCTGCCAGATTTATGTGTCATCAGGCAAAAATTAGGGAGATGAGAATACACTTTCTTAAAAACGTAGTTTTGCAATAATAGTAGAAAATCATGAAAAGACAAAATGCCATTGTTAATTACTGCCTTACTAACAATCCTGGTGCACGCCTTTGCTTTTCTCCCAGGTGCTATGTTCCTCTTTTTCCCCAGTTTAAGCATTAGTGCATCTTAGTTGCTAACTTTGTTCACCTGTCATCATGTTAAAGCACTAACAGCATTTCTACCACACATTTAAATCCATTAAATGACACATTTAGCTAAATCAATGAAAAATTTGTGGGTAGATACGGTATGAGTGAGCTGTGTAAAGGCACTCAAGAGATCTATGGCTAGGTCAAGAATTCTTACCTTTTAAAGCTAAATAAGGCTCTAAGGTAAGAAAGCATAGGGTTTGGTCTGGGAAATACTACCTTTGCTTAGTTGATTAGAAGGTCACCCCAAAAGAAATATTCTTCCCTACAGAAATCATAAACAAATTACACAAAAATGTTTTGGTTTCCCCCCCCCCACAAATCCTTTATGTTTTTCCATAATCTTTTTCAGTTTCTGGGTACCAGCTCTCAGCACTCTGTCCAGGAATAACACTTCACACAGAGCCAACGCCATGTCCTCCATCCAATATTCCCTTTTACACAATCCAGTGATCCTTTTGGTAACAATTCAGGACGCAAAAGCCAACTCAAAGTGGGACCTGCAATCATTTCTCCTGAAATGCTGAGCAAGTCTGGTGTTTGGCTCTGAAGAGCCCACCTCACATCGTCTGCCAAGTGCTAAGAGCTGAGCTACCGATCAGGTAGCCTCCTGCAGAAAAGGTGGTTGACAGGTGAGTAGAAAGCCGCTCAGTGGGAAGAGGAAGAGATTAGAAATGGCTGTCTCCTGAGAACTGCTAAGTTAGAGCCTGGAGCATACACAGGGGTTGATAAAGGGCAGAGTAATTATAACAACCTGCAAAACCAGCGTCTTTGTTCAAGGCTTGCCTGTGAACAGTTACTGGAACATCTGCCCTGCAGAGAAATCTGCATGCTGTCTCTCCTGACCTTCAAACAGCCCTGACCTTAGGAGCACAGGATAACTCAGGAAGTCTCTAGTCCAGCCTCCTGCTCACAGCAGAGTCACCTACGGGGTTAGAACAGGTTACTCAGGGCTTTAGCCAGACACATCTTGAAAATCTCTAAGGATGGAGACCGCAGAACTTCCGCAGGCAGCATGTTCTGCTGCTTGGCTGTCCCGATGGAGAAAAAGTTTCTCTGTAAATCCAGTCTGAACCCCTCGTTTCAACTTACACCCATTCTCTCATCCTCCTGCCACGTGCCATTAGAAGAACCTGGCTCCATCTTCGTGATGACCTCCTCGTAGCTATTGGGCAGCTTCTGCCACTAGGCCCTCCCAAAATCCTGTCTTCTCTAAGGTTGAAGAAGCCAGCTCTCTCAGCCTCTCCTCAAATGGCAAGTGCTCCAGCATCCTAACCATCCTGGTGGCCCTCCACAGAATTTCTTCCAGTTTCTAAATCGTGTTTCCTGTATCAGGGGACGGAAAACTGGATACAGTACCTAGATGGGGTCATTAGTGTATGAGTAGAGGGGGATAATCACGTCCCTTGAAAAGGCATTGCTCCTGTTCATACAGCCCGAGATAATCCCATTGGCTGCCTTTTCTGCCAGGGCATGCTGCTGGCTCACATTCAGCTTGTTGTTTACCAGTCTCCCCAGGGCTTTTTCAACTCCCCCTGGACAGTCAGTTCCCAGCTCCAGCTCATTTCATCATCAGAAAGAGAATCCCTGCAGCCCCACATGCACCAACTGTCTCCTGGCTGGACCCGAGCAATGAATGCAATACTTCAACAAATGCAGCTCCCCTCCCAGTGAATACAGAACAGCACAGTTCCTGGTCCTGCAATGGAGCATCTGCTCACTCTACAGGTAAACTAACCCACCACCCCTCACCAGAACAAACACGTAAAACGAGAGCAGCGGAGGTGGGACAGGCCCTCCACCTCTCTCCAGCCCCATAGCCTGCTCACAGCACCAGCCAAGGGTCACTGGAGCTTTACCCAGCCAAGGCTGGGTCACCCCAAGGATGGGGCTCCCCCACCTCACTGGGGACCTGCCCCCGGATCGCACCGCCCTCCTGGGGAAAGAGCTTATCCTAATGCCCAGCCTGATCCCGCAGCACAGCTTGTGGCATCATTACCCCTTGCACCTGGCACCCCCGAGAAGCATATGGCTTTGTGCTCTTGGTAACTGCCCTGCAAATGGGTGTAGGCTACTATTAGCTTGTCCCTTCGCATCCGGTTTGCCAAACCAAACTGGCCCAGTTCCCTCGACCTCTTGTAGGCCTGTGCAAGGTACCCTGACCACACTGGGAGCTTCTGGAGGCTCCTCTCCAGCTTCTCTGCGCATTAAATGACACAAAAGCATAGTATCAGAGTGAAGGAGGAGGATAATTTCCTGCAGAACAGACTCTGATCTCTCAGCATTCAAGGAAGACCTGAAGAACATCATTCAAAGATAAGCTATACATTTTCACCCCCACGCTCTACTGGATACCAAAAATCAGAGACTCACCAGAAGTACGGGTTTTACAGCATGTTGTAAACTCCCCCTTTTCCTTCACAAAACCCTCAAGCAATGAACTGCCCAACTGTCTCTTTCTGATTGGAGATAAAAACCTACCACTTCTTTCCACCATCTTGCAAGATCTTCTCTGCGTCATGCACACTACTGTTTCTCTTGGACATTTTGATGTGCAGCTAAGGCAAGTAATTGTTCTCAGGGTGTATTTGACTTCAAAGCCTGCTGACTCTATTGTAGATCTAAAGAATTTTTTCTTTGCCTGGAAACTTATCTTTTCCCTAACTACGTTAGGTGCTTTATCAAGAAACATTATTTGCCAACATACCCCTTTCTGTGTGAACCAACACTCCTATGCCCCAGCCTCTTACAAATATCATAAGAGCATAACCTGCTTAGCTCTGAAGCATGATTATCTGCAACTGCTGGATTAAATAACGTAACTCCTGACACCTCACAGAAAATGCAGTGGCAGAGAGACTCTCAGTGAGGTACCACGCTCCTGGCTGCACTGCTGTTCAGTCATCAGACTAGACCACAGGCAGATTACGTTACATGTTTTACATAGGGACGAAACCCATGCAACAAGATTGACGAAAAGCGTCCAGAGGCCAAACTGAATTGCCTCACAAAATAGGTCTGATACTCCGGCCACCCAATGAACACCTCAGTTATAAACACCTTTATCCTTCCGTACAGCTAACTTCTTCCATCACCGCTTTAAAACAGTTTCCAGGCCAGCAGCCTGTGGAACCCAGCAGCAGCTGAATCCTTCCCGTGGCACATGGCTGAAATTTGCATCTGCCGGTTGGGGTTTTGGCAGCTCTCCCTTGCGTAGCCACACACCGCTATAAACACAGAAGAGACATTCTATGAAACACGGGCGAGACTCAGCTGAGTGAATTACCAAAGGCTACAGGAAGCATTAAACACTCCCAAATTTGGCCAGACCAGAGCAACAAACGAGTGTGCCGGGACGGTGCAGGTGCCGTTACCTGATGGCCGGTCTCCAACGACACCTTGCACGGGCGTCCCTGGGCATCCCTACGCTCGGCCAGCTGGCTCTCGGGCAGGAAGC